GAATTTTTGTGTGATTTTTCTGAACGGAGTTGCAATTTTGTTTCAGTTTCTGTCAAGGTTTTCCGATGCATGGTTTTTTCAGTTTTCGAGTTGAAGCTTCGCGTAGGTTGCTGATGCTTTTATTTGGGTACTGTCTTGTAAAGCTAAATCTTACTTGAATACAGGAATAGAAATATTCTGGATTATTGGGGCTGTGCCTATCTTGGTGCAGGAATTATGCATCAACCATATAATTATACCCTCTGACCCATCACTTTTACAGGATGCTCTGGCACACCAGGATAAGTTGCATCAACTTATGGAGAAGGCCTACGACAAGTTTCGCGTTAAGCTTAGCAATGTTGTGGTATCGTTGGCTGAGGTAGCATACCTAATTTTTTAGTTGCGCCGGATCCACACGAAATTAGAATTTCAGAACGTAGCGGAAGGTCGGGCGTCTTTGACGAATAAAGAGAGTCCGTTGCATATCTTGAAGCCTACTGGGCTTGATATTCAGATTCACAAATGCTCGATAGATGATCTGAGACTGCCTAGGTGGGTGTTACATAAACATCGGAAGGAGTTAGATGTTCGTTTTTCTAGAATGAGAGTGATTGGGTTGTTACCTGATGTTGTTATTGGAATTTCTGACATCCGTTTGCTGGAACTCACTCGTTTGTTACTTTCTATCCCGCGTCCAGAACCGGATGTAGAGGCTATTGCAATAGAGGAGAAGATTTTGGAATCAACAGAAGTAAAAGTGAAGGATCGCGCAAAGATGAAGACGATCATGGAAGTACAAGAGGTAAGTATCCGTTTCTTTTATGTTTAGTACGCATAGTACGCATATTTCTTCTCAGATCGAGTCCGATGAGCAACCGCCTCAAGAAGGAGTTGTTGAAGGTGAGAAGAAGACCACAGAACAGCAGATACAAGTCGAGTTGGACCTTTGCCTGAATCAGGTATGAAACGCTTGCTTCGATATTTATTGTGTAATTTATTTCTTCTTGAGATTCAAAAAAATACAAATTCAAGAAATTACGCTTTTCACTTGCACTAGTCTTTCTTACTTCAACTATGCTGCTTCGTTGTAGATTGGTGTTATCGTTTCCCGAAAAGAGGATGTATTATGTGAGGTTTCGATCCTTCGCATGGGCTGTAAACTTCAAATGCGCACTTTTGATATGGTCATCAAAGCAGAGGTCTGTTTTTCATTTCGTGTAAGAATGAGTTCTGCTAACTCTGAGCGTTCCAGCTAGGAGCCATCCGTGTCTCAATGCCTATGTTCAAGTCTATTGATCCTAGACGTGATTGTCTGTATTTCATTGATAATGATGAAGAAGAAGGAGCGCTCATGACGCTCAAATACGTGCAGGTATGTTTTTGTTGATGTTCAAATTCGAAGAATGTTTGATGATAGCCGTTTACCTAGAATTTGATTCCCTTTGCTTAAAGGCAGTGTACAGGCAAAATGGACCCTAGAGTGGAGTTAGGTTTTGGTAGCGTTAGGTAGTAGATTCCCCAAGTACATCGTTGCCCTACTTCCACAGTCAACTCATGCGCCGAGTCCCGAAAATGCCCTTCGAAATTCCACCAATGACGCCCACTCAATGGAAGTGGGCGGG